TATATATATATATATATAGATGTCTGTCTTTTGCTGTCTTTCTCTATTTTTTGCAAGTGTTACAAGTCAATTTTAAAAAATTATCTTGAAATTCTCCTATTATTTATTGTATCATCTATATCTCATCCAAATCAGCTGTGCTTCAAAATTTGACTTGGTCGCCAAAATCAATGGCTCGTGTAATACTTTTGCGATACTTACGTTGATAAATACTTCGTGTAAAAATTAATAACAATGTATTATAAAAATATTTTTCCCTTTCGTAGGTATATATAATACTCGATGAATTATATATAGCAGTATAGCATGCCGCGATAATACCTAACTTAATCTCACCCTTTATTCTAATCTAACCCAACACTAACGTAACGTACGTTCAAAAATCTTATTCACGTAGGATGCAGTAGCATTTAATTGACCAATCAGAACAAAAGGAGCAAAGATTTCTTCGTCCTGATTAGTCGATCAAACGGTACTTTATCTCGCGCGTAGAATTTTTGAACGCACTCTAAACTGAATTTTTTGGAGCAACTCAAACTTGCCGTCAGTATTTAAACACGGAGATGGATGTGAATCGAGAGGATATTTTCGTCCGGATAGAACGCGCGTTTCCAGTGCTTAACGGAAAGCTGCTGCATGTAATATATATTATATACTACCGATATTACAAATTTATTTTTTTCTAACTGAATTATATCTTACGGTCGTGCGGTGACAGAAACTGTCATCTCGACACGCGCGTATATATCATGCTTTCTCGAGGCATTTACTTAAAAATAAAAATTAATAATATATTTTATTTTTAATTCGAATAATTCTGTGATTATTTCCAGAAATAATTGTTATTGTCTCTTTCGCAGACTAAAGAAGAATGCACGGAGGAGGAGTTCGCAAAACTTGCGGAAGATGTGCGAGTTTTGAAGCTGTTACAATTTGTCGAGGACATTGTTATTCATCATATAGAACAATATATCCGTTGGTATGTAGCACCAGCGTTCTGGGAAAAGTTCGAGAATACAGAGGATGGCCAACGAGGCTTCGAATTATTCAAATCCGCAGTGGATGGTCTGTACATCAGTCTCACAGAGTTTCTACCTGTTCTAAGAAAGTTGGACTATTTAAGACAGAACAAGGATATGGCTACGGATCCATCAAGCACAGAAAATGAAATAGAGGCACGATTCAAGCTCATCGTGAGAGCGACATTGTTAAGCCAATTACCTCTGTGTCACGAATGTATTATAGCACATTTCTATAAAATTGCCTTTAATGTATTCTGCAATTCGGATAACTCATCGCAAGGTAAATGTCAATCTTAATTTGTTCATATTCAAAATATTTCCAAAATGTATGAGATTTTATAGAAATATATATTTTTAAAGCAGATATATCGGTTAATGAGATTCAGTGCATTGGGTGTGCCCAGGGAGTCGAGAACTGTCAGTGCCAAATGATAGTTTACATGTTTCACGAGACAAACAGAAAACTAATTGAACTGAAATTATTGGAGAGACTCGTAGGAAATGTACTCACATCGTTAATTCATATTCGTATCGAGAATCATGTGATTCAAACATGCGACAAAACGTTTGACGTGTCGCAATTGATTCCATTAGAAGAGGTACGTGAATTTTGTCCATTAATTTTATTATATAATTTATAATAATATTTATATAATAATGATAGCTATGTATATTAATGTTGTATTTGATTTTTTACAGTGGCTTGAAACTGTCGTCATGAGTTGGCTAATAAGAATTTATTCCGGTGGCTTTTCGAAAACGGTGGCACTTAGTGATGAGATTCGTAATGCCATAAATAAATTTAAACAGAAATTATCGCATTTTCTATATGAAACATACACCAGGATAAGGATCAATCATCTCTTTAATATAATAATAGGTACATACGCCACTTATATATATGTATACACATTTATACAAAAATATATATATTTGCATGCTATACTTTTCTCCAGAATATCCTGAGTCGCAACCTGCAGTGGACGATCTCCGAATTTGTCTTGAGAGAACCGATCAACGGAAGGTCCTGGTTAAGAATCTGCAGGAAGCGATCAAAACGAGGCTTCTGCATCCCGGCGTGAACACCCCGGATATAGTGACAGCTTACATCGCCGCGATCAAAGCGCTCAAGCATCTCGACCCGACAGGAGTTCTTCTGGAAGCTGTTACGGAACCTATCAAGTGAGATTTCTGCATCTTATCGCATGAAGATTCTTCTTACGTATATAATTCTTGCGTATCGATTTGTCAAAAATTTAGGAGTTATCTGAGGAGCAGAGAGGATACCGTACGTTCTGTCGTTAATAGCCTGCTCGACGATTCGCCGAGCGAGTTGGCCGACGAATTGGTAAAGGGCGAGTGTCTGCAGCTGGACGACGGTTCGGCGGACGACGAGACTGAGGATTGGGAAAAGTGGATGCCGGATCCAGTCGACGCTGATCCCGGTAAACCACGAGATTTTATTATTGGCGTTTTAAAAGAGCCTGCATTATACAGATTGGCTTCGCGCATATTTCAGTTTTAAATATATATGATTCATTCTTTCAGCTAAATCAACGCAGCGCAAGGTGTCCGATATAATATCTACGTTGGTGAACGTCTATGGCAGTCAGGATTTATTTGTTAACGAGTACCGGACATTGCTAGCGGACAGATTGTTGTCGCAACTCAACTATCATACTGAACGTGAGATACGTCACTTGGAATTGTTGAAGAGACGATTCGGAGAGAATCAGTTGCATTATTGCGAAGTAATGCTGAAGGACGTTTATGATTCGAAAAGGATAGACGGTAACATCCACTCCGACACTAGTTATAATCTGCAAAGGGAACTGTTTCCCACTTCTGCGCTCATATTGTCGGCGCAATTCTGGCCGCCGTTTAAGGAAGACTGGAAATTGAAACTACCAAACATCGTGCAAAATCAATTGAATAAGTACGTGAAGGCATTCGAGGCCTTGAAGGGAAATAGAACGCTCTGCTGGAAGCCTCATTTAGGAAATGTGAGCCTAGAAATTGAATTAAAAGACAGAAAGTTGGACATAAACGTTACGCCGGTACACGCAACGATTATCTTGCACTTTCAAGATAAAAGTAAGTACATATTGATCGATTTATTATTATCAGGCGTAATCACATAGTGAGATTATCACTAATTAATGTTGATTTATAGATGAATGGGCTTTGCAAGATTTAGCGGAGGTGATGCACGCTCCGGCGACTGTTTTACGACGCAAAATGACATTCTGGGTGTCGCAAGGCCTTTTGAAGGAAACTGCCAACGATGTGTACGTCTTGCAAGAAGAGAGTACGTCCAAGAATCGCTTGTCGACGGACATCGTCGAGGAGGAAGAGACCGAAAGCATCATGGCCTCGGCCAGCGATCAGAGAGAGGAAGAACTGCAAGTGTTTTGGTCGTATATTGTAGGGATGTTGACGAATCTAGATTCGATGCCGATAGAAAGGATTCATCAGATGTTGAAAATGTTTGCGTCTCAAGGGCCGGGCGCCGTGGAATGTGGTTTACCGGAACTGAGGCAATTTTTGGATAGGAAAGTCAGGGAACATCAACTATTGCTCTCCGGTAGTTTCTATCGATTACCAAAGTCATAAGTTTCTGTTGTCTCACTATTTTATTCTTGACGTTTCAATACATGATTGAAACGGCATTTGTATAGTTTGTAACGATAGAAAAATATAATTTGTGATATTACATTAAGAGCGATATCTGGTTTCATACAAAAGGATATTTTTTTGACAGAGAAATAAAGCTTATACATAAATACTCCAATATATTTCGCATAAAATGTAAATATTTATCTTTTTAATAGGTAATTAGCATACATATACATGTTTTCGATTAAATATAAATTTTATTTGTGTGTTCCTTTGAAAGTCAAAAGGAGGTTATCGAGTATTGAAAAAATATTTTTATTGCCCGTTCATCATAATATTTATACATGTTTGCGTATAAACTATTTGCACTTTTATTGCAAACCATAAATTTTCTTTCGTAAGTAGCATACAGTATATTATGATTCACACATAATCAGATCTTTCCGAGATTTCAGAAAACAGATTAGCTTCTCATTGTCACTTACACATTAATATTGCCACATATATATCCTGCACATATCTCAACATTAAAATAAAATATGAAACTAAAAAATTATCATATAATAAATTTCGGCAAAAAAACTATATATAATTATAGAATAATAAATGTAAATTCGCATGCCATATAAGATCTAACAAGATTGCTTGCACATATATATTTCCTTATTTAACTTATCTGTATACATATTTATAAATATGATAACAGGGGGATATATAAATAAATTAGCCCGAGATTTACTTTTGCAGTGATAATAAAAATAATCAAGGGAAAAATTTTTTAAATAATGAAAGGATATGTATAATAAAAATAATAAAATAATATATCTATATATATTGCAATTATGTTTAACGCAAAAGTAAATCACGATCGTATTTATTCGTATCGTCCGGATGTTCAACTGAGTCTCAGTGCATATGTATAATACATTATGTATACATGTGTAATAATTTATGTTCTTACGCATACATATATTAAACAGCATATACATAAAGAGTATACATATCTGTTTTTGTATATAATCGATCGCGAAATGCGCAAGTAATTTGCGCTTTCTAATAAAAAAGACAATAATATTCAAAATATTTCTTTAAATCAATTATTTACGTAATAATATGTCGGATATTTATGTTATGAACATAAGTAGATTTCAGATCACTCTTAATGTGTAGCTGTATGTGTGTATGTATGCTTTTCCAGCATTTATATATATATACACAAAGGACCAAGCTATTGGTATCTAAGAGGGATTTTTCGGATAAAAATTCAAAAATATCTGTCGAGAAAGAACGAGTATAACATTTGACACATGGATGACTATACATAGGATTTATAAACGCGTGCAACTCTCTGAGAAATCGTTCTTAATCGTTACATGTACAATATGGCAGACCTAAAAGTGGTGCAACTAATACACAACGATAAAATCGATATTAAGTAAATCACTCTCTCACGCAAACACTCTTGCACGTGTGTGGACAGAGATTACATACATATTTGTTTATTCATATGATTATAATATCTTGTAAATAATTTTGCAGCACAACAGATCGATACCTCGATCGTTTCTGCTTCATCGTTTTGCTCGTCATTTGATGGTATCGATATGTGTGTATATATACACGTATATGTATATAAATATATACATATATATGTGTATATATATGCAAATACATTCAATGATCCTGCGATTCAAAAATCGTAAATTCTTGCAATATTTTCAAATATTTGAAATTTTACTCAACAAAAAGTTTGGCAACATTTAGAAACGTCTCGGAACGGACGTCTTGTTCTTTTCTCATCAACGTATTGCACAATTGACGTTTTAAAATATTCTCTGCGATTAGTACTTCTTTTTAATACTTTTGGCTGAAACAATATATACATGTAGCTCTTGTATATCCGGATGACGGATGTTTAAAGCCTTCTCTTCGGGATATTCGCGATTCGAGATACAGGTATTTTAATAGTCCTTCTCGTAGCTTGCAACGAAAAAGATCGCTAGAAAAAAGTTACCTTCAAATGTTGTTTATGGTTAACTTTATCCTATCCTTAAGTAAATCACGATCGTATTTATTCGTATCGTCCGGATGTTCAACTGAGTCTCAGTGCATATGTATAATACATTATGTATACATGTGTAATAATTTATGTTCTTATGCATACATATATTAAACAGCATATACATAAAGAGTATACATATCTGTTTTTGTATATAATCGATCGCGAAATGCGCAAGTAATTTGCGCTTTCTAATAAAAAAGACAATAATATTCAAAATATTTCTTTAAATCAATTATTTACGTAATAATATGTCGGATATTTATGTTATGAACATAAGTAGATTTCAGATCACTCTTAATGTGTAGCTGTATGTGTGTATGTATGCTTTTCCAGCATTTATATATATATACACAAAGGACCAAGCTATTGGTATCTAAGAGGGATTTTTCGGATAAAAATTCAAAAATATCTGTCGAGAAAGAACGAGTATAACATTTGACACATGGATGACTATACATAGGATTTATAAACGCGTGCAACTCTCTGAGAAATCGTTCTTAATCGTTACATGTACAATATGGCAGACCTAAAAGTGGTGCAACTAATACACAACGATAAAATCGATATTAAGTAAATCACTCTCTCACGCAAACACTCTTGCACGTGTGTGGACAGAGATTACATACATATTTGTTTATTCATATGATTATAATATCTTGTAAATAATTTTGCAGCACAACAGATCGATACCTCGATCGTTTTTGCTTCATCGTTTTGCTCGTCATTTGATGGTATCGATATGTGTGTATATATACACGTATATGTATATAAATATATACATATATATGTGTATATATATGCAAATACATTCAATGATCCTGCGATTCAAAAATCGTAAATTCTTGCAATATTTTCAAATATTTGAAATTTTACTCAACAAAAAGTTTGGCAACATTTAGAAACGTCTCGGAACGGACGTCTTGTTCTTTTCTCATCAACGTATTGCACAATTGACGTTTTAAAATATTCTCTGCGATTAGTACTTCTTTTTAATACTTTTGGCTGAAACAATATATACATGTAGCTCTTGTATATCCGGATGACGGATGTTTAAAGCCTTCTCTTCGGGATATTCGCGATTCGAGATACAGGTATTTTAATAGTCCTTCTCGTAGCTTGCAACGAAAAAGATCGCTAGAAAAAAGTTACCTTCAAATGTTGTTTATGGTTAACTTTATCCTAT